AGCACAACCCATTCCAGGTAACCTGAGATCTCCCCAGGCTGAAGAGCAGGAGTGGGGGCCATGGAGCCCCCAAGCCATCTTAGTTTGGCAGAGATGCAGGTAACTCTCTGGAGACTTTCTGCTCACTGGCATTAAGTATGTCCATTCCCACAACTGTGGGTCTTCTTTCCATTGCAATTCTGGCCCTCCCTCCAGCAGGACTGTCCACTTTTCTACTACCCTTAAGCACTTCTGGAGAAGAGCCAGGGTATTTAGCATCTCTGCAAGACAGGTTAAATAGGATGCCAGCCTGCACCTCTGCCCTGTGTGGGGCTCCAGCCTGAAGTCCTGGGGTTCCCAGCAGAGATTTTGACCCATGCAGAATCAAATGCTCTCGAGTGCTTCAGGCAGACAGCAAGTGTGGGCTGTGCTCAGCTCTACAGCTGGTACTCAGTCAAGAAGGTTTGAATTGCACAGTCACAGCCCATCAGTGTCTCGCACAGTTTGTTTTGACATGCACCAGATGACTTGAGTCTTAGAATTTGTCACTTGTATTTCTAAGTCTCCAGAAAGCTCCTGGTGGTAAAATCCATTGTAGAACACTTTGAAAGTTTGAAAAGAAATGGTGAAAGTAAAACTTACCCCCATAACCATCAAAGTTACTTGCTAGAACATTAAAAGTCTATTTCTACCTTATCAGAAAACCATATTCTACTGGTACAATCCTCAGCCTCACTGGCAGCTGAAGATGTGCCAGCAGATAGGAGATGTGACACACCACATCTGCAGTTACTCTTTTCCACGATTCAGAACAATCTATTCAATACAAAGTGCTGGCAAAGGAATGTGTCACTTTAATGTACAACCATTCTCCCTCCAGCCTACCCATATTTGATATTTTTGCTAGTTGATCAATATTTTCTGCTAGTCATTTCTCAGGAAAAAAAAGTTCTGTTTCTCTTTGCTGTGAAGAAACATTCCAAGTTGCAGATATGAGATGTATCATTGAGTCCATTGGAATGGACACAGGAGTGCAGTGGACTGCAGTTGCTCTGACTTGGCTAACAAGCATGAGTTAAACAAATTTCATTAATTCCTTAACTGATGTCTAGGCAAGACCTGATGCATCCATCAGCTTTTCTCCACAAGCCCTCAGCAAGCTTCCCTCCCCCTGATAGCCCCAGTGAGGAGGAACAATAGAAATGTGTTTTGAAGGCAAATCTCCTACCCCAGGCCACAGTATGGCAGGTCTTACTGGGATTTGAAGGTATAATGTCTGATCCCATTCAAACAAAAGAGATGAAGAATTAAATTTTCAGGCATGCTTGCTGAGCTCAGGGTAATAATATCCAGAAGTGTTAGAAGCAGAAGTGTTTGCACTGTCATTCCAATGCAGTGGGAATTAGATGCCTGGTGCCTGACACTGTATCATAAATACAGACATTTTCATGTAAAAGTAGAAACTCATTGGCATTTCTCCTCTTTTTGCTACCATTAGGTAGTTTTGTTTGTGGAATGAAAAAAACTGGCAAAACCAGTTTATTATATAAATAACCAAAATATTCTTCAGTCTAGCTATTACCTGTAGGTAAATTTCATTCAACAGATATCTGGAATATAGAAAAGGCTGTTAGTTGTGGGGTCTGTTCAGAAAAATCATTCCTGTCTAATAGAAATGTTACAAAGCCAGACTTTTGTACTCACATTTGATGAACAGCATAGGAAGAGCTCAAGGAGCAGAGGGTCAAGCAGAGTATCAGGCAAGCTAAGAAAAAAGTGGCCTTAAGTCCTCATTGACCCTTAGAACACTTTTACCAATAAATATGAGATTATTCAGGCCAGTTTATGAAACATGGGCTTTTCTTATTTTTCAGATACAGGGCTGATCCATCCAAGTCCAGTGAAATCTGGAAAAATTCCTATACTTGTTGCAGTTAGTTTTGGAGTGAAGCCTATGTGCACTGGTACATTAAACTGCCTACTGCAGGGTTTTGTGGCTGTTAGATAACCCATGGCAGCAGCCTCAAATAAATGAGGTGCTTACTGTGCTTTGAAATAATATTAACCCAATAGCTGCATTTAAACCACCTGGAGATGAGATGAGATTCATTAACCCAAACTCAGTCATTTGCAATGTAGCCTTCTAAGCTAGCGGCTTTGATGCTATTTATGGTCATGTAGTCATATAGTTGCATTCTGTATAGTTCTATGTATGACTTGGATCACTTTGTTAGCTGCTGGCTCATAAAAATCAGGTACCTGGCCCTGCTGCAAAGCTCCTTGGCTCCTGTGCTGTGATCAGAGAGATACAACAGCAACTGATACAGCAAGAGTGAAGGATGCCTGCTCGGTGCTCTGATGCCCTCAGGTTTCTCAATATCCCTCTGGGAGTCTCCTCCTTTCAAAGTAGTGTTTTTTCCTTTTGAAATCAGTCTGTTTTGCAGAGGGAGGAGTTAGAAGGGAAATTCACCGACTGAGGAACCGAGGAATATTTTTACCTCAGGCTAAGATAAAATAATTTTCCTTTTTAGCTTTGACTGCTGGATTAAACCCTCATAGTTCACACAGTTCTAGAAGCAGGGAGTGCTCTGTGCTGAGCAGATTTTTATAAGCATTGCCAATTTACATTTAGCTGCTACTTTCTGATGCTCTTTGTCACAGTAAAGGTCAAACCTGTGGACAGAGAGAGGGCAGGGGAGGGTCAGATCCACTCACAACACAGTATGTTGGTCTTGCTGCCACAGCCTTTGACCCCTAAGGGCTGCTTTTTTAGGGAATTTTTCTTCCTAAAACTGTTTCTTGTCTTGGATACAGAACCTCTCATCCTCGGCTCACATTTTCTTTTGCAGATAACCTGACAGACCGATGTGAAAAAATGGTGTGCCTGTGTGACCAAGAAGCAGCCAAGTGCTGGGGAGCAGCACCATACAATCCACACTTCATCCTCTGGCCAGACTTTTTATGTGGACAGACTCATCCCACCTGCCACGTCACATATGGGGGGCCAGAATAGTCTTTATACAACCTTTCTTCTAACGATTTGAACCTGAAGGTTGTGGAATAAAATTTTTCCTTGTTTTTCAGATCTAACAGTGGTGTGAGAGAATTTCTATCAGGGCAGGAATTATGGGGAGAGACAGACCAGCAAGGTGTGGGGTGGAGTTGCCCTCTCTGTGAGACACACTTGGAATGTATCGAGCTCTGCCTTTGGGTAGACAACAAGCATGTCAAAGGCTCAAATATTAGGAATAAAGGGCAGACTGATAGGGGTAACACTGTTGGGGATGTTTGCTACAGGCCACCCAAGCAGGAGAAAGTGGATGAGGCCTTCTACAGCCAGCGTGAAGCAGCCTCACAGTCACAGGCCCCAATTCTGGTGGGGGACTTTTAACTACCCTGACACCCACTGGACAAACAACAGGTGACAAAAGTGATTAAGGGACTGGAGAGTCTCCTATGAGGAAAGGCTGAGGGAGCTGGGTCTGTTCAGCCTTGAGAAGAGATGACTGAGAGGGGACCTCATCAGTGTCTGTGAATAACTGAAGGGAGGGTGTCAGGAAGATGGATCCAGGCTCTTCTCGGTGGTGCCAAGCAATAGAACAAGAAGGCACTGAGTAGAAACTAATAGACAAGGAGTTCCACCTGAACAGGAGGAAGAATTTTACTGTGCAGGTGACTGAGTACCAGAACAGGTTGCTCAGAGAGATTGTGGAGTCTCCCTCACTGGAGATATTTCAGACCTGTCTGGACACAACCCTGTGCTCTGGGATGATCCTGCTTGAGCAAGGAGGTTGACCCAGATGACCCATCATGGCCCCTTCCAACCTACCTTTGCTGAAGCAAAGAGAAGATCCTTCTCTGATCATGATCAAGATCTGCCTTTGCAGAAACAGAGGGCTTGGTCTGTGGTGCAGTGAGAACACATCTCCTGTCACTAAATAGTGCTGCTGCTCTTTTTTTCTTTTCTTCTTTTTTTTTTTTTTTTTTTTTTTTTTTTTTTTTTTTTTTTTTCATGTCATGGGTAGTTTGGATTGGAAGGAGCCTTAAAGATCATAGTTCCAATCCCTGTGCAATGAGCAGAGACACCTTTAACCAGACCAGGTTGCTTAGAGCCCAGTTCTCTTATCCCTTATGCTCCTGCATCACAGCACTGGAGACAGTTCTGAGCTGTGTTCAAGGGTAAGCAGAGTTACACTGGGCTATTGCAGTTGCAAGGTCAGCAAGGATTTCTGACTTCTACTTACTAGCAGGCATACCCACACTTTGCAAAAGAATACACTCACTACTCCACAAACTTCAGAGATGATATGCTGCTCTCTGATAAAAATAGAAGATAGTCTCCTATGCTGGCATGTCCCCCAGTCACTGCCTGCCTGGGAATCAATTATTGTCACATCAGGAAACAATAGCTGTGGAGAACATCAGTCATGTCAAGCAAATCTTTCATCTCTCCTTCTTTTTCTTTAAAAGGGTATTAGAGACTTATATTCAAATGTTACATTTCCCTCTGGCAAGAGAAGCCAAAATCCCATTCTTTCAGCCAGGAGTAGCTGTGTAGGAGTGGGCCTTCTTTGCATCTTTGTTGCAAGCCTTAGACTGGAGCAAGCCAACAGGACAGGAGCCTCTTTGGCAGGAGGCACAGGCAGATGGGAGCCACGCCTGCATCCCCAGAAGCAATGCTTGTGATTTCCTCGGGTAGGTGCTAGCACTACGTGGGCACCTGGAGCACCTGGCTAGGCTGGGCTCCTTCTGTCTTTGCTGAAGCTCACCTGACAAACTTTGAGCTGCACCTTTAAAATAAGAACTAACGGCACAGAAAGACTCAGGGTGCGTCATCAGAGTCTAAATTCAGAGATATGTGGCCAAACTAAATGGAGTTTTGGCACGTGATAATACAGATTTCTTCACAAAAAGCTGCTTTGCTCCTTACTGCAGGAGGATGGTGAATATGCCACTGGAGCTGTCAAAGCTGCAGGAAAAAGAAGCTTGCTAATAAAAATAAAAATGCCAAAGTCAACATGTAGAGGCAAAGGCTTTTATTCTGTCTAGAACTCCGGGTTTTGGCTTATGAGGCATCAGAAGTTGTTCCACCTGCAGGCTTTGCATATCCCAGCGACTCCTGCAATGCTGCACCTCAAGCTATGCTGAGCAAGAAAAGGAGAGAGAATGAGTGAGCAACAAAGAGTCAGGACAACACAATAAACTCCTCCGAGGCTTTTTGGCTAGAGACGAAGTTGTGAACTCTTAATGTAGAGCGTTTGCAGAGGGATGATGCTGTGCGGACAGCAGCAGCCTATGGAAGGGAGTGTGCTTCTCAGCAAGGGCTGGAAGATCCTCCTGAGAGAGGCAGAGCTCCCGGCGTGTCCCTGTCCCCGCCACGCTGTCCATCAGGTGGCGGCAGCGCTCCAGTGAATGGCAGGAGCAGCTCTTCTTCTGCCAGCCCTTCAGGGAGGGGATTTTTTCATCAGGCTGAGCAAGATTTTTGAGCGCTAGAAGAAGAGGTGCAAATCACACGTCTCCTCAATGAATGCAAAAAGTCAGCTGAGCTCGCTCTGAAATACCACATCTTGGGTTATTCAAAATGGGAACTAAACTTGTTTCAAAATACAGTGTCAGTCTCCTCAAATTAGATCAGCTGACAGAACAGAAAAAAGCAGAAAAAAGTTTTGGGTACATCAGTCTCTTACTGAGGCATTTCTTTGGCTCATGTGTGGTGAAATATGTCTGGTTTTTCCAACCTTACCAGCTGATCTAATAGAAGATAGATCTTAAAGTAGGGCTTTAGAAACCACACCTCACACACCTAAGCCATCTTAGGCTTTCTGTGCACAAGCACTGCGAGAATACAGATGTAAGCAATGAAGTTGGCAGGAGGAAGTACCATCCTTCAGCATAAACATAAAATTGTTTTGAGTCCTTGGTCTTTGTTAAAAGAAGCTGCAGCATCTCATTAAAAAACTCTTAGTCCAAAGTGACAATTAGAGAAGATCCTATTATTTTCTTTATAGGTAATTCATTAGGTCCATTGGTGAAGCTCTACTCAACATAAACAAAAAACTATTTGAAAAAGTGATGGACCATAGAACCAGCTCTGTTTGAGTTTCCTTCACACATTTCCTGAGCCAGATCCCACGTCTGACCTAAGGTAAGCAAATGCCTAATTTGTCTTTCAGTTAAAACACAGGTACCTTTGGCGAGACTCTTGTCTCATGCAGAGGATACACTTCCTCAGTTGCGGGGTTAAAACAATAATCAGAACCACTATGCCTCCAATACCTGCTGCCACAACCCCAATGATTGTTCCAATGGATTCTTCTATACCAAACAAGCCTGGGGGAGAAAGGAAAGCAGAGAGAGTAATGTAAGATGTTTTCCAGACAAGTATATGCAATGCAGCCAGCATCTTTTCTGCAGTGGCTGCAGAGGAAGCTGCTTACTATGATCATGCTGATGTCTTGTCTGACATGAAATCCCTTCTACATGGGAGAGTGACTTGCACTACAGAGTTACTGATTTTTCCACTCCTATGTAGGAGCTCCTAAGCAGCATTCTCAAGCTGCTATGCTGTCTGTGCTTTAGAGAAAGGGCAGCCCCATCGCTCCAGAAATCTCCCTCAACAGCTAGACACCATGGGATGGCAAAAGAAGCTGCTGCTTGAATTAATGGGACTCAGTCCTGTATACTTTTTTTAAAAATATGTTTTTGAAAGGAAAATAATTACTCTGACAACTTTGAGAAAGCCATGGATCTGCCTATCTACTTCCAAGGGAGACAGCACCAGAGAGCAGAAAGCAGCACTCCACTGAAGTCCTTTCTTTGACTGGCTGCTCTTGGGACTATTGCATGGCAGAGATGGCATAGTGCTGAAATTATGCATTTCATCATCCCAGGAACACAGAAAGGCAATTATGCTGGCCAGAGTGCAGACATTTCAAGAATAACCTGTGCTATTGAGACTATGAGATCAAGCCAACAGGAGACCTCATTAGACAGATGACCAAGCCCCTGCAGAGGGGCACAGTTTGCTTGCCTTAGTGTTACAGTTTAAACTGAGTAGTGTTATAAAAATTATTAACTCAGGCTCAAAAGGCAAAGGCTTAGTGAATCTTGGTGAGATAGAAGCTTTGGTGATGAAAAATAGGAAAATGGTACTTGCATAATTTACTGTTGACACAGAAGGAGGTATTTTTTGTTAATTAGATAATAAGATAATAACCCTTCTAATGTGTTGGCTTTTTGGGACTGGAATCTGTTTAGCCTACATAAGAGGAAAGTTTGGCATTTCCAGCTGCTACAGACATAACAAGTTACCTCTTTACTTAATATGTCTAGCATCTATCTGTGAGGCTAAGAAAACATAGCAGGGAACTTTTAATGCTATTTTCATTTCAATGTGAATGAAGTTAATCAGAAATTATATAACGATCATATTATATATGATCCTCGTGATTATCGTGGGATTACTTATGTCATTCAGAGTTAAGGAATGACTATGCAAGTTAGTGGGTTGGAGAGAAATAACGTCAAAAAAAAAGAGGTCTAGAGCTGTTCCTTGAGATGGTACCTTGTCACCTGTCACTCATGGGGGTTCTGCCAAAGCTGTGAGTACAAGAGGAACTTGTCTGTTTCATTCTTTGCAGTGACTTTATGTTTATGGATAACATTATTCCTTCTTTTTCTGGTGTAAATGCTCCTCCTTATAATAATACCTGTGATTGTTTATAGAGACATGCTAATGAATTTAAGCTGGCCTTACAAAAATAATGAGAAATTCTATAGAGCAATTACACTCCATGACACCAGGCCCTTACTGCCAGAGGCCAAACAGGCTGACTTCTCTGTTTCTGCAAGTGTGCAGAGCAGCTTTGGAGGAAAAACAAGGAGAAAAAAGGTAAATAACTCCAAGTATTACCCAGAGCCCTCCTGATCCTGAGCTTTGTGCCATCTCCTGTCACCACCTTCCCATCCGGAAGTGTAACCTCACAGAAATAAATACCATGGTCACTGGTTGTCACATTGAGGATAATCAAGGAAACATCCCCTTGAGACAAGTCTCCACTCGTGAAGATCCTGGAGTTATTTGGCAAGATGGTCACATTCTTTTCTAGCAGGTCCATCTGCCCTTTTTCATCTTCTTTGTACCACTTCACCATCAGGTCGGTCAGAGAGGGATGCTGTGGACTGTTAAGATGACAGTTCAAGGTCACAGTTTCACCTTCTTTGGCTTTCTCCTTGGCTGGTGTTTGAGTCACCAAAAGGTTCCAAGGCTCAGGTGTCAACAACAAGGGCTGTGCTGTTACATGAGTCACTGCTGCTGCATTCTCCTTGTTTGCACCTCCACCAGTAACTCCTACATCTGTACCAAGGAAGAGAGAAAAGAGGACAGTTGAGGGTGATAGGATGATAAATGTTCCTGCTGCTCCTAACCTCTAACCAGCACAAAGTGGCTCCTGGAACTAGCACATGAGGGCAGTCACTGTTACAATGACAGGGATTTTCTTCCTAATTACACTTAGGTTATGTTGTGTACAGACAGGTCTTTTCCTGAGTATCAGCTCCTTTCTACCGCCACAGTAGAGGAAGGAAGATTAATGCCATTGTCTAAAGGCTTTGGGTGAAATTTAGAGTCCAGTCAGCCCCCTTTCCATCTGCAACACTAACCTCTTTCTTCCCATCCTGAAGTCTCAGGGCCTGATGTTCCTGACTCAACTGCTTTTGAGGCAAAGCAAAAGATGCATGTACACCTACACACTGGCAGTTCTGTTCTGGCAAGTACAGTGAATAAGCATGCATCTAATGCAACTGCCTGCATCCCAAAACCTAACATGATTCTTAGAATTTTTGGCATGCACTTTCAGTTACAGGACAGGAAATCTTGAAATCATGGGTAGAATCTCCATTACCAGGGACTGAACCCCTAGCAGATCTTATCAGCAGTCTGAGGGACAGAACATCAGCCTTATGCCTGCACTGAAGCTGAAGGTGACAGCTATTCTCTGCCACACTATATTAGGAATGGTGAGAAGCACAACACGGACTCTCTTAGCTGCATTGTCCAAGAGAGCAAAGTTTATTATTCTTGATCTTCTTATGTCTTATAGACATGTTCAAGAAGGTCCAAGAGGTAAAACTCTCATTGGTCATTAAACCAACACATCACTGTCATTGGTTAAGAGGAACACCATCCCTTGACTGTTTCCTAAACAACACCTGCAGAGATTGTTTGTTCTTTACCAAGGACTGTTTGGATTCTTTCTCATGCTTTCTCAGGCCAGAATGAGAAGCCTGTGTGACTTAGTTTCGCACAGGCTCTGTTCTCTGCTTGCTTTTTTGCATTTAGCATCCATAATTCTCTGTGAAGGGACTGTCTCCTGTTAGCTTCTGTTAAAAAAACATGAACATGTCTGTAGCAGACATTTCAACCTGCCTTCTCATACTCGGGTGCTAACCACAGTATCATATCCTTGAGCTAAGAGTAGTGAGAATGGATCCCATTTCTGGGAACAAGCCTGGGCACAGTAAATGAGAGAAATAGTTGCTGTCTCAAAAAGAGGGAAAAGCAAACCTAAAAATAAGCTTTTGCCAAGAAAGAGTTCAGGCCAAATTTTGGAAAAGGCTCTTCTGTTGTTTTATTTTCTTCAAGTGAAATAGTCTCCCTTCGAGCTAGTTTGTGTCCTCTCAAAGACTGCAGACCATTCCAGAGTGAAGGTCCTGATTTTCCATTGTCTTCAGTCTTTCATTGCCATCCACAGAGTGTGAAACATTGTTGTGTAGGTCTGGTAAAGCATTACAATGACAATAGACACTCTCTGCTCAGGGACAAATGTCTCGAGGCAATGGAAAACCAAACCCCTTTATGATCACTTTGAGAGTTACTTGAATGGCTCCTCCAGGCATGCTTGTACACAAAAATCACAATTGTATTCATAGTTATTATTATTTATGACTCATATGGGAGTAGAGGATTTCTGTCAGCCAGCAGGGCCCTGTTGTTCTGGGCACCTTACAAAAGGCTGGGATATAGAGTTTATAGTTTACATATGAGACAAGAGAGAAGTCATGAATACAAAAATACAGGAACTATAAACTGGCTGTGAAACTAGGCAACAACAGAGCATGTCAAACATCTTATGAGCTGTTTGTTGCTCTGTGCTTTTACCACAAAGTGAAGATTTTTGCCTTAGAACTGGAACACCAACCCATGGGAACTGGATGCCTGAGAATTAGGTACCCAAATATAGTTTTGAATCTGGTCCCCTAAAAAGAGTAATTCTTACTGAAGGTATGGGGTGAGATGTTATCCTTCCGTTCATGTGTAATCCTACCAATGAGCCCACTGGACCTTCTTGAGGAAATCTGAGGTCCAGATCTTCCATGCCTATTTAGATACATGTATCAAGGCAGCAGTCATAAAAGTTGAAGTATCTTGACAAACACTTTGAGGAAATACAAAGTATAATTGAAATAACTGACAAATCTTGACATATTACAGTTTTGTGCATCAAATATTCTGAAGTGATCTATTTGGCTATTTATTAGAGTGAATTTGAGCAGTTGCATAATGAGAACTCTTTTAAAATCTCAGTTTATTAACCATTTTTTCCGCTGGATAACTGTTGCATTAGCTAATGTGTGCTACTGCTACCTTGTTTTCAAGGAATGGCCACAAAATTTTCTCTGCTACAAGCATTCTAGTCTTGCCATATGCATCCCTGTAACACATCTCTAATTTTTATTTCTTTTAGTGATGTGAAAGGTGTGTTTTTTACACAGACAGTGGCTAGAGAATGTAACCGAGTAGGAACATGTTGCCTCTGTTCATCATGAGTTTTAGACACATCTCCTATCATGAGATAATAAATGGCCTTGTCATCTGTCTTATTCCACATCTTTGATTCAATACAAATCATGTAACTTAACTAGGAAAATTAAAACAGGAGAGGAGTAAGCTGTCTTGTTTTGTCCCAGCTCTCTTTGGGGGTTTCACTGAGAAGGTCACAGCATTACCTCTATTTTTCTCCCTTTCTTTTCTTCCTTTTTATTTTTTAAGGCTGCAAAATTGGAACATATTAGTTCACTGGTATTCAATTACACAATGCCCTTATCGTTTTGGCATCTGGGATCATACCATGCCAAATGCTTTGCTGACTCTGCTTCAAAGCTCTTTTTAAGTCAATTGCTTCATTAGCAGAGTGATGTGTAGGTCCCTTGTCATGCGGGTTGTGGGGCTCAAGCCCATGCAGAGGAATGTGAGCCTTTGTAGTGAAAGCACTTGAGCTAGACAGGGTACAGAGAAATACATGATGATCTTGTCTAGACCTGGACAAACGATTAGATGATCTAATAGGTCATTGTCATATGAAGTCCTTAGTTCAGGTCCAGTTTTCAGTCACGAGGGGAGAAAGCTCTCTGGGACTCCCTGTAATGTGGCAATGTGCTCCACATTTGGCAGTACTAACAGGGCACCTACTAAAGTCCTCAGCCTCCCCTTGACGTAACCTGCAGGTTGATACTTCCCCATGTAAGGACATAACAGACCTGTAAGTGAGAAATACACAAGCCAGGCTAGAGGAGCAGGGTGAAAAAAATGAAAGAATAAAATACAGCTGCATTCTCTTCCTGTCCTAGAGCCTCACTAAAGTCTTTGGTGCCTGGAGTAAATCCCAGCAGCCCTGCAAGCTTCTTCTGCTGCCTGCCAACAGCATGGGGGAAGCAAAATGGTGTGCGAGGTCAGTGCAGAATTCTACCTTTCCAGTTTAGCCTCCTCTCCTTTAATTCACACTCAGTAGCTGGAGGGGTTCAGGGCAAATAGGGTTCAATTTCCAACCCACAAAAAACTCCTCTCATGATGAAATTACTGTCTTTCAGATAGTTTTGTTTGCTTTAGAGCTCAGCTTCACATTCATACAGTGCTGGAGTCATGAAGGTGCTTTACAAGCTGCATCCAGCTCGCAGACATCTATGATTAAGTGATCAATGACTGCACATTGCTGCTCTTAATTTATATGACTTTTGCCCTGGGCTGAGGTTGTCTTTCACAAATGGATATGAATAACTACCTTGTGACAATAACTGGTGGCTAATATATCAGAGAAACAAAACAGAAATGGAGCTTCTAGGAATGATGATACACATCTGGGAAAAGACAGGCAAATACACTCTTTCTGAACATTTATATTAGAGAAACAGGAATGTATCTAAAGAGAAAAGTATGTTTTAATGCAATGTACAACATTAAATACAATTTCTCTGTACCCTGAGGAAGCCCTCAGTTGAAAGCTGCATTTTGTTTGAAAAAAAAAAAAAAAAGAAAAAAAAGTACTTTTCATGCCAAGCCCCAAGAACAACCTATATTTCTTCTAATTTAGGAAGATGGTTTAGTACTCACCCACCACCAAGAAGAAGATGAATGAAGACACTGCAGATCTATAGAGTTTCCCAATGTGCTGGCTCATGGCTGCTGAAGTACATGGCCTCATCATCTCTCCCTCTGGTAGTAAGGGTAAAAAATATGTGTGTATTATAGCAACAGGACCTCACATTCTGCCTAGAGAATGTCACACTTACTAAAGTTACCACAGCTTTGAGCCCACAGTGCTCTGCCTGATCCCTGGATGAGAGCCACATTGCAAGTGACAATTACTTCCCCAGTGGCTGTCCTGATCTCTCTCTGAGAATATGTCAAAAATGCTCTGAGAGGAGAGGGAATACATTGTTTTTTACTTTATGCTTGTATAAACCACAACTTTGGGCTGAGTATAGAATATCCAGATACGCCAAAGGAGACCTCTCTTCTGCTGAACCTCTCCTGAGTGATCATGAGAACACAAAAAGCATTGGCCTAATTATCTGAACATTCAGACTCTAATGTACCACGATATCAACCTAACACACCACAAGAGGAAATTTCAGGAACTCAGTAACTTTGTGGCTATATGCACATGGTATTTACAGGTAAACTGTATTCCCCAAAGTGGTGTGGTTTTTTTTTTTTTTTTTTCAGTGCAGAACAAGTCCTTTTTCACCAGAAGTTGACTAGTTAAACTGTATTTATATTAAAGTAGAGCTTGTCTATGCAACTTGGGTGGAGGGAAAAGCGCTGGAGAGGGCAGCCTATCTGCAAAACCAGCAGGTGTGCTCTGAATCAGTCTGTGTTTATACAAGGTCCACACAGAGCACAATCCTGTGAGAGGAGCTACAGCAGCTTCAAGCCTCACCTGTACCACCCAGCCCTGCCAGGCATGCTGTGCCTGCACCAAGGATGGGCTATGGTCACTATTTGGCTGACACCTCTTCCCTCAACTACAGGATTAGGGATCAGAGGACACTTTCTCTGATGATCCTGCATATGTTCAAAACTCTCCAGGAAATGGAATTGTGCTTGAGTATCCAGTAAGGGCTCAATTTCATAACTCTTAAAACACAATGCAGCTGAGAGAGGCATGAGTATTTCTGCTTTTCTTTGCATATGAAAGCAAAAAGGACCCATATTTGATTAGCAAAACTTGGCTGACGTAATAATGTCAGGAGGAATGGCCCATTCCTGGAGTCACCAGTTGTCACTTTAGCTTTGGTGTGCAGATCCCAAAGCAGTGGAATCACCAAAAGCAGGATAGGCTAGAGGGAGTATGGTTAAAGGAATCTGGGAGGCAAATACTTCCCTGAAATGGGTTGGGAAAGTGGGAAGACCTGTGATTAGCAGGCAGGAATCATATTAGGAAGGGAACTGGGGCCAAGTGCAGAGCAACAGAGCACTTCAGAAGGAAGATGGAAGTTTGTGAGGGTATTCTGAAGGAAGTACTGCCAAAGTGCTAGTGAGTAAAGCCAAAAGATTCATGAGGGGAAAAAGTTAGAGGAGTCAAAAACAATTAAGAGTTTGAGGAGGGAATAACCTGTAGAGTCAAAGGCACCTGGCAGTTCAAGAGGATTTTGCACTAAGTTACTGGTTTAGAGTGCTGATTGTGACTGTGTGTCAGAGGAGTCAGTGTGAGAAGATGGATCTGAACCAAAGGCAATCCAAACACTCTCTGATTTAAACCCAAGTACTTGGTGTACTTCAAAAAAACCCTTCAAGTTTGTAGTGATGGACATACTACCATTGTTCCTGCAAATGCTATTTATGTTCATGTCATCCAGAACTAGCAATTCTCTTGTGAATCCTCCATTAAGTAGGTCATGTCTAAGCCAAAGCGCCAGGTCAGCCAGCTTTTAACTGAGGGAATACAAAAGGGGTTGGTTAGTGTTGCTGGCAGCCAGTAGATGAACATGAAGCTGCTCCCACTTGGATAACCCAATATGATTCAGATTATGGACAAAAAGCAAAATAAACTGGTACCCTGAGTGTTGTTGAAAAAAGCTCTCAAAATTCAAGTGTCAGGCGCAAATCAAGAAAGTGTTATAGATACATATTATATTGTTGGCTTTTTGCAAATATTAAAATGAATGTTATGTGTATAAGAATGGAAAATTTTGTTGTATTAATATAATTTTATTTATTTCTGTTATTGATGAAACTTAGAAATATGGTATAATACATATATGTTAAGCTATGACATAACATTAAAACAAAAACTACTTTTGTCTGAAAAAGATAGCTGGAGACCCTTTTTTCTTCCTTTTCTAAACTATCTTATCCAGATGAAGACAGCAGTGACCAGAACTCTGAGGGGGGAATTTATTGCATTTCTGGTATCAGGGAATGTAAATCTCGATGGCGCCAAGATTGATCTATTGGAAAGGGGGCAAGAGAAAATTAAACAGAAGAACACCAAAGATCCTAAGATGAATGTATGAATATGTATGAGAATCTATGGATATGTAGTAGGTTTCTGTTTTTAAGGGACAATCCTTTGTCAGTAAGGTGTGCTCTCTTGGCTGAATGCAGAGACACCCGGCCGTATCTGTATACTTTATTTATTTTTTTCTCCTAATTGTCTTTCTATTAAACTTTTAAATTCTATAAAATTATGTGAACCTCATTTTTCACAAAAGCAATGAACAAAAAATGAAACAAAATACACGTTCTTTTTTACACGTTCTTGTGAATTTTGGAGACTTGCAATTGCTTGCATTAACAGTGTCCTGTCTGGGCCAACAGCTGTGAGGAGGGACACTTTTCCATGGGGACTTGGGACACTTTTTCTAATGCAGCAGCGAGCAGATATCACAGGGCCCTGAGATGTCCAGGTGGAGCCTCCACAGAGAGAGCCTTTACCTCCATTTCCTGGGGAAGTGGTAGAGAGAAAGGGGACAATAGGAGCAACTAGCATTGTCACAACAGGCTGTTTTACTCACCCGTATATCCTATCCAATCCATCCATCCAACATCCATCCATCCATCCATCCATCCATCCATCCATCCATCCATCCATCCATCCATCCATCCATCCATCCATCCATCCTCTACTAGCTAACTACCCAGCAACGTGATTTCTTTGCACCTCACAGGTCTCTTCTTTTCCTGTGAGGTGAGCTGAGGGCGCAGCTCTGAGAGCCATCATCGATCCGGTTGGGTCCCCCCGATTTGAGGAGCCCTCCGAGTGCCCAGAGCTTAGGGGAGAAACTACTCAGCGCTGCTCAGCAGCCTCACAAATGAGACCCAGGGTTTCCTGGGATGAAACCCCCCACACTGACTTCCTTTATGTCACTTCATCCTCCGCTCGGCCCGCGGCCAGCCTTCTCCCTCTCCCCCTAGGAGTCCCCCCGGAGCGCCCTTCGGCAGTGTTTTCCCTCGGATCTCCCCAATTCGGGATTTGGGAGCCGTTTCGCTGCCCGGGCGCTGTTTAACCGGCTGCGCTCACGGAGAGCAGCGGGCGCGGAACTCTCCCTCAGGGGGGAGGCAGCGAACACCGCCCCCCCACCCCCTCCCGCAGCCGGGAGTTTTTTTCCTACTACAGCTCTCAAACTTTCCACCGGCGCGGAGGCTTCCCAGTTAACCCTTGCGGGAGCCGCAGAGGGGCTGCCGCGGCCGGACGAGGAGGGGACCGGAGGCGCCGCAGCGCTCTCCGCCCCCCATGACGGCT